TCATACCTTAAATAGTGCACTAAAGCTGTCCAAGTTCATTTTACAGACTATATTAGAAATATATAAACTTTTTAAAAGCAAATGCCAATATTTTTTGTTTCATAATTATTAATTTTTACTTTGAATTTTTTAAATTTTTTTCAAACTACGTTTTTCTTTTTATCCAGGTGCAACATTATATACTTGTGGTGCAGGCACAAGATAATGGACATCCCAGTCTCTCCACCACATTGACTGTGTATTGCAATGTGTTGGATTTGAATGATAATGCGCCCATATTTGATCCGATGAGCTACTCGAATGAGATCTATGAAAATATATCGATTGGCACACCGATTGTAACGGTTACTGCGACAGATATTGACTCAGGTAAGCAAAAAAAAAGAAACAAAAAGTAATATATTTGAAAACAACAAATTTGACGATTGCAACCGAGAATTCACCGAGAAAGTAACAATTTTTCCAAATGCAACAACACACTGGGAAAGCTATAAATAACACAGACGATAAATATTATATTAATAGTTGAACTCTGGTGTTTAAATTTTTGACAACGAACGCCTAACTGGTGTGGTGTTGAGTTTTTCCACTTCGACAAAAATCATATATGTGCACTTCTGCGATTAATGTAGCTCTTTAGTGCTCCTCAAATAGTTAAGCTCAGCCGCTATTTGCAAGTATCCGGAAAAATCATGTGTTTGCGCTCGCTTTATGGCACCCACTCGTTGGCTCTGCGCAGYCGCTGKCTTTCTAGYCTTTTATTACACTACACAGCGAACTTGCCACACTTAGCAACATGAAAAATTACTTTGCAATTGCTGGCACATTAAAAACGTTCTTCACCTATTGACCCACTAAACGGCGGTGCTTAAATGTTTCCGACTTTCTGTGTTTCCGAGTTGCCATTTATGCTCGTAGTAAAAATAAATATCATTATAGCTCCTAACCGCTAACATCTAACCGGCATAAGCCGAAACTACCGTGTCAAAAACTGTGCAACACAAAAATAAAAATAAACGTAAAAAGCGGCAGTAAAACGGCAGCAGCGCAACAAAAAGTGCGCAGAAAAATGAGCATCTCACGATTTATGACTGACACCTTTCCACGGCTTCTGTTTGCGCCTTCATATGTGTGTGTGTCTAACTTGGTTTGAGTCAGCGTCACAGCCTTCATTAGCTTCTTTGCTATTCCAGCTTTTCGCCATTTTTATTTATTGTGCCAAATTGCGCTAGGAATATCGACGGCGTTGGTGGCAACAGGATTAACATCACTAATGGTTGAAAATGAAACCAAATCAACGGTACAATTGAAGTTGGAATAACAATTTTCCAAGGTGTGGCCGAAAACCGCACACATTTTTATGTGTTTCTATTATTTTTTTGTTAACTGAAAATAGAATTCGAAGCTATTTTCACCAGTTTAGCTTTGGTACTGGGTGTTCCAATTGGTAGAATATTATTTTAAATAAATTTGAAAGAGGGGGGGTTTCAGTCGGTAGTATATGTTTTAAT